TTAAATGATTATTATGACAAGGTCCATGTACTTTCTCTGTGAGACCCGAAATAAGTGCCAGATCAAAAAGTAAAATGAGAGGTCACAATAGCGTTGTGTAATAAAGAATCTGTGAAAGTATCACTAAATCTTATTCATTGGTTTAGGAGGAATTGAGGATAAGAGATAGATTTAACATGTACCCTTCAATATCAAAAGGAATGGCAGAATCCATGTTTTGCTAACGGAGCCCAAATTATGTGTCGGGTCAAAAAATAAGATAAAAGGTGCACTTTGGCACTATTTAACAAAGATTCTGTGAAAGCCTCATTAAATTCTGTGAAGCCTCATTAAATTTCATTCAGTGGTAGAGGAGGTGCGGATAAGAAATGGGTACCCCAAAGCGTATCAGACGGATGGATGTACAGACAGACAGACAGGCGGGCGTACCAACTGGTGGATGAACAAATATCCCATCACTATATTTCCCTTTCCCCCTGCTTGTCAACCGGGGGTATAATAAGTCACGTTTATTATGAATAAAGCAACGAAAAATTAATTTATAATAGTGTTTATAATGGGTATTCGGAACTAGTAAAATGACAACATGAAAATATTCCAATATCTTCCGGTGTTCTAAATATTTATTTTAAACAAGTTTTTAGTATTTGTTGGAATACATATCAAACTTACTTTTGATACTAGAATGTTGTTTTATGTGAAATATTGATGTCTCTACAGAGATTTTTCTGCAGACTCAATTCAGATTTGTTGCATTGTAAAAGTATGTCGACTGTTTCAAGTACGATAATGGAACCAAACTTTATATAATTCAAACACTCATAAATATGAGTTCTTACGATAGGTATCAATTTATTTTTACACCTTTGAATTTATTAATTATCAGCTCTTAAATTAATAATTATTCGGAACTGGTCAAAATTCGGAACTGGCCAAACGACTGTATTTAAAATAAAAGACCCTAAATCTCATAAAACATACGTGTACAGTTTTAAAGTAAAGTTTCAAAATAAACATGTTAAATTTAGAGTAATAAAGTACTTACTAAGGTCAAATCGAGGTAATATACTTATCATACCCAGGCTTGAAAAGTGAAAGGGTATATAGTGATCGACATGTCCGTCCATCCGTCCATTAGGCTTTGGGGTACCCATTCTTTGTCTGCAACTCTTCTTATACCATGGAATGACATTAAACTAGAGGTACTGTGAGCACTGAGGTCACTAAATGATACCCCCACCTCCACTGTGATTATAATGTCTAAGTCCATGTTTTGCTCTGAGAGACCCGATATATGTATCAGATCAATAAGTAAAATAAAAGGTGCACAATGACATTATGTAATAAGAATCTGTGATAGTCTCATTGAATTTCATTCAGTGGTATAAGAGGAGTTGTGGATAAGAGATGGGTACCCCAAATTAAGCGTAACGGACGTACAGACGGACTGACGGACATTCCGATCACTATATATCCTCCCACTTTTCAAACGGGGGATTTAATGAAACTTTCACAGAATCTTTGTTACATAATGCCATTGTGCATCTCCTATTTTACTTTTTGATCTGACACATACTGTGTATTTTGGGTTTACCATAGCAAAACATTAATTGACACTACCATTCTTTCTATAATATTGAAGGGTGCCCATCTCTTATCCACAACTCCTCCTATACTACTGAATAAAATCTAATGGTACTTTCACAAGTTCTTTATTATATAATGCCATTATGCCCTCCTGTCTTACTTTTTTGTCTGACAATATTTCGGGTCTCCCAGAGCAAAATATGGACTTATTATAATCACATTTTAATCACACTGGAGGCGTAGGTATAATTCAGTGAACTCAGTGCTCACAGTACCCCCTAGTTGTTAGTTAGCACACAGGTACTTTTGTAAACTTTCACTGGATATTTAGATCAGCTATAAAAGTAAAAGAAAAACAATTGCAGCATTTTACATGTTTAAGAGTATTTGATATTTCCAAATGCATATCAATTAAAGCACACAAAATGTGACGTTTTTAAAAAAAGCATATTCAATCAAAAAACTGGCCAATCTGTCACTAAACCACAACATTTAGATGGATGTCTTTGTTTGAATATTAAGATCAATAGGAAGTTTAAATATACTGAGAATGTTCAGGTGATATGGTTCAAATCATTTTTCGTCTATTTCAAAGGTGAAATGTACTTTTTATTCTTTGCCTATTGCCAAAGAAGATTCCAATAATAAGAAAATAACACCCCAAGAACTCTTATTTTAAGAATTCAATTCTTTCAGCCAATCAAAATGTAAGTGAATATTTTAATTAATATCGACTACCCTAGCTCATACATGTACATTTTAATGAAATCAATGTGTAAGATTGAGCCTAATTCTAAACACATTACATATCATCATTAGAACACAGGTTTCATGCTACATCAAAAGTGTGATAGTTCAAACGTTTCAGCTACTCATTGGATACAAGAATTTCATTGTAATACCTTATAAAATTGTATCCTTTATAATAATATTCTATATTTTAAAAAGTATAACATTTCCAATGGCTTATAAGCAGTCATAAAAAACTCAATGTTAAACCTAACAGAATGAGATGTTGGACCTGTCGATGAAATGTTGGACTGCTTACGTCACAGGGGTGCGGGGTCAGCTATGAAATTCGACAGAACTTTTAGGAATGAATCGTGTTTCAGCCACATTGCGGGTAAACGAAATTTACATCATGATATGTCAAAATAAAAATGAGAGGTATAACAACTACTTTGAGCACAGAACTCATTAAATGAAACCCCCGCCAGTATGATTATAATCACAAAGTCCATATTTTGCTCTGGGAGATGCAATAAATACCAGATTAGAAAATAAATAGGAGATGAACATGACATTATGTAATAAAGTGTCTGTAAAAGTATCATTAAATTTTATTCAGTGGTATAGGAGGATTTGTTTATAAAAAATGAGTACCCTTCAATATTATAGAAAGAGTGGCAGTGTCAATTTTTGCTATGGGACTCCCAAATGTCTGTCCGATCAAAAAGTAAAATAGGGGGTGCGCAATGGCAATATGTAACAAAAATTCTGTTAAAGTTTCATCAAATTTCAATCAGTAGTATAAGAGGAGTTGCGGATAAGAAATAAGTACCCTAAAGCGTAACGGACGGACGGAAGTGCAGACAGACGGACGGAAAGACATCCCGATCACTATATACCCTCATGCTTTTCAAGCGGAAGGTATAATAAAAATTTTACTGACTGTATCCTTGAGCAAAAATGCGTTTTGTCGATCCCTCGAAACATTCTGTTTGCCTTCAATCTAACTGTCTCAGGTAAACAGTTTGCTTCTTTGGGCTAGACAAATCGCATTTTGCCCTCGAACCCAATATGCTGTTCAAAGCGTCTTTGAATAAGAAATAGATGTAATTGTGAAATATGTGTATGTACGTGTCATGAATAACAGAAAAATATTCAATTAAATACAGTCAATATAACGTTCAAAAGTACATGTATCTAATTCAACAGTTAGGTTACTGGCAGGTGAAGCGTTTTCTTCAATTATTTTATGTACATATAGTTACATGTACATATATATAATCCTCTTTCAGAATCATCTACTATATTAATCTCATTCATATATTCTCCCATTTTACTGTTTAGTCTAGATCTATTGCACAATTAATTCAAGTAATTTAAATTTATTTTGTAAATCTTTTAAACAGAATTGGTGTGTTTGAATAACGAGATCGTCCATTCCAACATCTTTAACACTCATTCATAAATTTTATGTAACTAAACTCATCTGTCTTCTCAGTTCACTTAAAAATGAATTTCAATGAATCCTCCACTTAAGTTGCGTGCATTTATTCTTCTTTATAATAAACTTTCAGTGCAATTCCAACCTAAAATGATTTAGTTGCCAAATATAATTGGCTTTTGATTTTTTAAAATGGTGACACAGTATCCCATTTGACCGGAAGTTGTATTTGTCAATATCAGAGTGGCTCTAGAAATTAGCATGGTCTGCACTCTTCAAAGCATTAATCTTATTTGTGATTAATATTGTTAATTCAAAAAAGTATAAAAGAATATAAAATTACCTCAAATTGCACATTCGGTCGTCTTTAAGTCTAGCCTTATGCAGAAATAAAGGTAAGTTTCTTATAAGTAAATTGCACTTGATATCTTTTTGTTATAATTTAAATGCTATATATAATTACCCGAGTTCATAATAAGTTGATTATTTATTAAAAAATTTGGGTTTTTTTTGTGTGATTAAGTGAATTACTTCAATTTCTAAGTAGAAAATCGATCTACTTATGAAGCATTCATTTATAAGTACAGAGAAACATTTAACTTTTTTTTTACTTTCCTCATGCTTAAAACTGTTCAGGAAAAATATTTTTATGCATATCAAATACAAAATGGAATATAGACATAACAAACAGTATACACGCTCATTGTCATTTAAACAATACAAGTCAGGACCGGAGCTACACGATCCTCCAAAATATCAGTGGTTGAATCAGGTGCCATGTAGAGGCGAACATCCCCTGCCGACCAGTCACACCCGCCGTGTGCTCGTTGTCATGATCTTTTTTTTTTGCAATATGCAGTTGATAAGGGTATATTGCTAAAAAAGTAAGGAAAGTCATCAAGTTTATCATATAGCTTTAATTGTTGTTGGGTTACCATTAAGTCTTTCTCTAGCAAAATATCTAAATGAACTCCACAGATTGTTGGAAAAATGTTTAATTTAATTTTTTTGTGATTGAAATACAAAAATAACGAAGAAAGTTCGATAAACAATTTTAAAATCAGCAAGACTGCACGACGCCATATGCAAGTAAATTAAACTTCCATTGCTCAAGCACCCTACACGCCTCTGACTAACACGCTCACAAGCTTCGTTGTACAGATATAAAGAATACTGTAGTTGTTTTTAAAGTAGATAATTATGTCTTTTCCAAATATAATCTTCAGAATTTTATTGATTTTACAGATGTTAAGGTTAACCGTCCTCCTGTTGTTGTTTGTTTTCGTGTCTTGTCAAAAGTACCCAGGATACGGAAAAGCACGTGGAAAATCACGCGGTTCTCCAGCACTGGATTTACTGACTGGAGGGGTGAGTGAATTTATCGTGGGCGGCAGGGCGTACGGAACTGATCTGCCACCACTACTGACCGGAGAAGCCAGCTTTGAAGAAAGTCGCTTTGGAAGATCAGGCGATTTTGAGGGGAAGTTTGAGAGAGGCAATTCCTTTAATGCTGAACAAGGCAGAGGAATATCCTTTAGGTCAACACACAGACCTGAAATTTATACAGGTACTACGATTAAAAATGCCTACCGTAGAACAACTAACTTAAAGAACATTCCATGGGCACCCCGACCAATTCCCTCAGAACCATTCAGCCCCTCATTTTCAAACGGTAATTTCCGCTCAGTCGGAGATGGGAAATGGAACACATTAAATATAGGCGAACAACCAAAATTTCCTTATACATCTAGTTCTTTTATCCCAAGACGCTTTTCAAACGAAGGCACTGATTTCTCTGGAATTGAATATCCCGAAATTAGAGATGATCAAGATTTCAAGATACGAAGGAGAAACTCCCAAATCAGAGGTTTTGGTTCAGACATTTTCAGTAAAGGAATAAAACAATTTCCTGAATTTCCATCTCAGGGAAACTCCTTTGAAATAAAGTATGCAGCAGACGACAATCAAGCTAAATTTGGCCCACGTCAGATATTTGGAAGAAATGCAAACCTACCAACACCAGTGAATGGAATTTTTGATAACTTTGGCATCCGTCAAAGTGAAATTATACATGGTGATGATTTAGTTAGTTTTGGACGAACCCGTGGAACAAATATCCCAGTTGGGATGGACCGGTCTTTTCAAAGCATTAGAAAAATCCCCAGAGCGTACCAGTCAGCCGGTTCGTCTTTCTCGCAGTTTGGAACCACAGGAGTAAATGATATACAACCGGAGTTACCAAGATACGGTTTTGGAGGCACTCCATTTGAACAAAGTGAATCATCAGGATTACCAATAGTTGGAAGAGTGCCTATCGCTAAGAAATATTAAGCTTTATAGGTAATTTAGATGGATTTATGGTTAAATGAAAAAATAAAGATCGACACCACTTTGCAGATCTTCTGCATTTGTTTATTTAATTAATGCAATTTCATTTTTATTTATTTTTTCAGGTCACAGTAAAATTCCTTGAATTTTCAACAGATGGCATTCCAGTGGGCAAGTGATTTTGAATAAATGAGCTGTTAAAGAAATATTTGTTTCGTATATTATTTCTTTGTTATAAAATACTACACTCCTTTTTGAATTATCACATCAGTAGTGATAACAAGCGCCTTTCAAAATTCTAAAATGATAGAAGTTAAAGCATTCTATCTTATTTCTATTTTTAGTAATTGAAAAAATTATTCGACAGATATGAAGCAAACAAATGTTTACAAATAAAAAAAAAAAATCTTGTAAGTAAATTGCAACTTGGAAAGGGTAGAAACATTATCAGTGATCGGTATAAAAATAGCTATAATTGATAAAGATATGCGAGTAACATTTGTACATTCAAAGAAGATCTTATTTTCTTGCTATGTAGTAGACCATATGAATGCATGTATTTTTTTTTTGGCAATTTTAAAAATTGTTGTATTAATAGAAGACTATGAAAGAAATGGAGATAACGAACAGTATTCAATTTCAAAGTCCATAAATCAACACAAAATAGGAGCAGAGCAAACACATATCTCCAAAACATCAGAGGTAGGATCAGGTGCCATGGAAGAGTGAGCATCCCCTGCCGACCGATCACACACGCCGTGTGCTCTTTGTCATGATCGGGAAATTACGGAAAAATCCGTCGTCAATTCAGTGTATAAATAATGGACTTACAATAAGTATGAAAAACGTCAGCCAGCATTTGACTCAATGATAAATTGTATTTACTGACAAGGTCGTTGTATCGACCATAGAACTTACGAAATAATGGTTTTAAACGAGAATGTTGATATTCTTGTTTCATCAACTTGTTTGTCAATAATTATCCTCGTTTAAGAAATTGGGCATGTTCTTGCATATCGAATCAACTGAGATATATAGACTCCATATGCATGTGATGAAGGAATATTGCTGCATAAGTAAAACTCTAAGTTTTTGAACTTGTGTCTAATCCTTTTCACTCTTTGTCAATCAAATATGTTCAATTCAGTTTCTATTGATTCGGGAGACAAAACCTCCCATAATCAAATTTGGTATAAAACAGTGACCTTAAAAATAAACCGGAACGCGACCCAATAATAGGTGATATTTGTTAACAAGATCATTTTAACGACCATAGAATTTACGAAATGCTGTAAAATAAATGAGGTTGTTGAAATCCCTGTGACTTCAACTTATTAGTGAATAGCATGCCTTGTTTTAAAAATTGATCGTACTCAGAACAAGTTCTTGAGTAGCAGATAAGTTCGAAGACATAAACACCATAATTAATTGATGGTGGAATTTACTACAGAAATGAGGAAAACTGGCAATGAAGAAACTGAAGGTCATCTCTTTTGTCAAGCAATTTGGATATTAGTTGGCCCTTAATTTCTATTTTCAATAAATAGTATACAAACTCATAAGTCTGAGCTTAAACAATATAAATCAGGAACAGGGCAAACAAGGACCTCTAAAACATCAGAGGTGGGATCTGGTGCTGCTGCATAAGTAGGAGTAGGCCTAAGCATTCCTTGCCGACCAGTCAAACCAATTCTTTTATATTGATGCGAAATGTGGGGTTTTCACAATACTAAACTAATAGAGAAATTACACCTAAAATTTTGTAAACATATTCTGAGCTTGAAAACATCAACGCCAAATATTATGGTATATGGAGAACTTGGAAGACACCCTTTATTAATTGATATCAAAGTTAGCATGATCTCATTTTGGGGTAAACTCATTAATGTTCAGAGTTCTAAATTGTCAGCAAAACTTTTATGTGCATTGAAATTATATAAGAATCCATGGTGTGATTTTGTTCAGAAAATTTTAAATGAATGTGGATTGACTTTTGTTTGATATGAAAATTCAATTAACATATTCTTGGCTCAAAAATATAGTATTTACCACTCTTTTAGATCAGTTTAAACAATCATGGTTTAGTGATGTGCAAACTTCCACTAAAGGTTTGAAATATAGAATTTAAAAAAAATCATTAATCTTTGAAGACTTTTTGTTGAATTTGCCTCCAAAACAATCTAAGAAATATTGTTTATTTAGAAGTGGGAATACAGAATTACCAACTGAGACCGGTACATGGTTTAACATCCCTAGAGAAAACAGAATTTGTAAATTATGTAACAGCAATGACATTGGGGATGAATTACATTACTTATTTAAATGCAATGATGTGTCTATAAAGAACTCAAGAGATGCATTTCTCAACATATATTTATTTGAATCTCTAGTACTTTTATTTCAAGGTCAATGGGATACCGGTCTATCATGTCAACATTCGAATGACAATACAGTGTACAATTGTTAATTATAAACTTTATCGATAATTTATATTCAAATTTCCAGATGAAGGCCAAAGCAACAAGTTTTTCTTCTAATCATGTATTAAGATCTTAAGATCTCAATTCGGCTTCATATGAATACGAAAAAGCTCTGCTAATAATGGGGCGCGATTTGGAATCACGCGAATTCTGCCAGATTGTTCAAAGACCTGGCCTGAGGGCCATAAACTGAGAACAGACTGAGGCCTCGGCCAAAATTTCAAACAAATGTAACTTATGAAATAATTTTGATAATTAATCAAAATTTTCCTCACATGTCTGACTTAAAATACTAGTATTAAACAAAATTGCAAATTTATAACTAATACATTGAATAAAACACAAGATATCAAAAATTAAATTTTTGACGTAAGTCTGTTCTCAACTGATATATAAAAAGTTGCTTGGGCTTCTTACTGACATTAACTATGTGGTTTTCATGAAACCAGGCTTCAAGACCTTAAAATGAGAACAGACTTACGTCAAAATTTTAAATTTCATATATTTTCTAACCACCATTCATGCATTTTGCAGCTCGTTTTCCATTGTTTGACAATTCCCCATGCGAAAAAATACTATTAGAATTCATTCGGAGTATTCAGTTGATGGTGTGTATCTCCACTTTTTGGTTCAGGAATTATTTTTTATTTTCGAATCGAATCCTTTATGTTCTCCTTCTCCACAACCTTTTGAGTTTTCGTGTCTCCTCTCCTCTTATCAACAGTTATACATTCTCCAGCTTCCTCCCATTCCCTTGCGCTCTTTCCCTGTCTCACCTAAGGTTAAAAGAAGGATTTTTGAAAAGAAGAAAGAAATACAATGTATAAAATTTTAATTTGTTGCTAAAAAAAATTTGAAATATTATAAATAAATTGATTTTAAAAAAACTGAAGAAAACATTTTTACAAAAATAAGTTAGTCACTGCGAGCTTTAATCGATGTATGATCGTTTTCTACTTTCTTTAAATTGTTGAAGGCAACTTAAATTGGAATAACTCTCATGAATCTTGAAATTGATACGCGTTGTCGCTCTTTGCTAATAGTTCAAGTGATTAAAATTTATGATGTTCATTTAAGCTGTATTCTTTGTTTTTTTCTAAAAGTTTTTTTGAAAATAGACATTTACAAACTAATTTGCTGTTTTTCATTCGTGTTTCATGTGGCTTCAGCTTCCGAACTCGCTAAACTTTTGATCACATTTTAATGAACAATATTTTCCTATTTTCCACAAGACCTAGCAGGTTTTTAGAGGAAGCAAGGTTTAAAATAAATGCATTTTTTAAAAAATAAAGATTATTGCAATTTTATTAACTATTATACTTTCAAAATAAGAAGTGGCATACCAATAAATTTCAAGCAATGAACTCCAACCATATTTTCGGTAAATAAATTTAAGATTTTTTAAATCTAGACAGATCTATATATATCAAATATCACCTCAAATAAGTGAGAAAAAAGTAATAAATTAAGATAATGAATTTATTTTTAAATGGAACATTTATTAATAAAAAAATATTAACATTATGCTTCTGATAGACTTATCAATTTCTAGTCACTTTAAAAAAAATAATATTCAGCGAATCATAAAGGTCTGTACATTCATGCGTTCTGATTTTCATTTATTTTAAATGAAAGCATTATGTACTTTAATTTATTGTCCTCGTTGTGTTAAATGTATAATATATACATTTGTGAGGATTGTCCTAAAAGTTCCTGGACATTGACGTTTTATCTGGTCTTTATATTTTCTTGTTTAACAAAATATCTTTTATGAAGTGAAAGTCAGAATAGAACAGATAGTTTTTTTGTACTAATTAATTTTCAAAGATTACAGATAGTGCACATGCACGGCAGACAGGTGAAATGCCATAAACTTAGAAAATAAATATTTTGATGAAGATGTATGCATGTTTCTTCGGAAAGAAAACCTAAACTTAGTAAATATTAGATATATACTAGTATCAAAGTAAAGCGGCTGTCATCTTTCCTGAAAGTAGGACATAAAAACCGCAAAATATATTTCAAAAATTCACAGAGAAATCCACGTCAAATATTCAAATCAAGCGGTATTCAATCATAAAAATAATATTTCATAACATGGTTGAAAAACGTTAAAAATATTAAAAAAAAAAAAAAAAAACTAAGTTCTGCACCGTATCAACCAGTCAAATTTGCGAACTGTTAACGTTTATCGAGACAATTGATGTCTGAAGCACAATGGCATTATGTAATCAAGAATCTGTGAAAATATCACATCAAATTTTATTCAATGGCATAGAGGAGTTGCGGATGAGAAAAGGGTACCCTTCAATATTATAGATAGAATGGCAGTGTCCATGAAATTGCTCTGGGAAACCCGAAATACGTGTCCAATCAAAAAATTAAAATAGGAGGTGCGCAATGTCAGCATGTAATAAAGATCCTGGGAAAATCTCATTAAAAGTCATTCAGTTGTAAAAGAGGAGTTCTGGATAAGAAATGGGTAACCAAAACGTAACAGAAGGACGAACACCCTGATCATTATATCCCCCCACTTTTCAAGCGGGGGAGGGGGTTAAAAAATTATAGTTTTTGTCTCCGGAACTTTATGGACATCCATCGTTTGTTCCTCATAGAGGTAAATATAACAATGGATTCAGAAAACTGAAAATAAGTTTTAACGGAGTGTAAAATTTAAAATATATATTATTTTTTCCACCACATATTTGTTTAACATT